CGTGTATTAACCATTCCAGTAAATTGTAATTTATCGGGTAAATTAAGCATCCTAGTAAAAGTAACAATTATTAAGAAAATATGGTGTTTAATTAGTAATTCGTCAGGTTTATTAAGCCTTTTTATAAAAGCAAAAATATTATTAAGAAACTAAGTAGTAACGCATCGCGTTACAGTAAAAGTATAGAAGCTAACTAACTGTGTTGTAAAAATACTTTGTAGTGAAGTGTTAATAGTTTGTTATACTCACTTGAATGTCTATACGTCCTTTCCATGTTGCTTGTCGTTTCTTCCTGTGAAAACCAAAATGAATATTTTCCCGTTTTTCGAACGCTTGCTCATAAACAACCTCAAGTCTTTCCTCCATAATCGTCGAAAAATTAGAAGGTAGCCACGAGGGATCTGCTTCTATAACTAGAAATGTAAAACTGATAATTTATTAGAGCTTCACAACCGAGGTTTGTACCATAAAGAACAGTTGAGTAATACTGATTAAAATATGCTTTTCAATATTTGAAAAAGTGACCAAAGGTTTTAGTTAATGTTCTGATGAAATGTTTCTTAAAGCAGAGAAAAGGAAACAAAGTATTTTGTTGGTATTTTTTATACTGGTCTATTCAAAAACACACACACGATTTGCATATGTAACCACTGACTGATTATATTTTTGTTAAGATATTCACTGAATTTTTCTTTTCATTCAAGCAATAATTTTCCGCAAGAGGGCCAACTAATAAGAGGTGTTATTGTTTATGTTAGTTAAGTTTGTAAACGGTAGTATGTCTTCTTAAACAAGATCATACAAACATGTCGTTTGCACAATTTTATTTGATAAATAGTATTTTATATTTTTACGATCTGATTGGGTCAGGCGTAGCCTAATGGTTAGCGTACCTGAATGTGGGTCTTAATATTCTGTTGCCGTCAGTTGGGGTTACGTGTTCTTTATAAGGGTAAGGTTGAAATCTCACCATTTGATTAGCCGAACAGTTGATGGTAGGTACTGTTGATTAGCTCTCTTCCCCCTAATCTATCAGTTCAAAATCGGGGAGGGCTAGAGCAGATAGCTCTTGAGTAGCTTGGGACGAATCACCAAACAAACAAACAAAGCAGTAAATGGGAGCGAGGATATAATTTATTGTTTTCGTAATTTCAAATAAGACAAACTTTAGGTAAACATAAAATATAATCATGTTAAGTAGATAAATTCTGAGAATATGTGTTTAAGTTAATGTGTTAAACACACAAGAAAAAAAAACAAGGGTAAAAAAATGGAATTTAATCACAGATAATGGAAATTAAATACAGTGTCTCAATATAATTATGGGCAGACGATGCGGGAACTCGGGGCGTTGAAGCACCCTCTGGCTCCAGGAACGGGGATGCCGCACACCTACTGGTGGTGTAATAGTTTACTTTTCAGTGTGTTTACTTTCAACAGGTTGTGGTTAAAACAATTATATATATTTTAATTAAATAGCTAAACAAGTTTTGGTGCTGGCTTCGTTTTATTAAGACGTATTAACAGCAAACGATTTTATTCAATGGGAATGAACTCTTCTACTATATAAATTGCTCACTGTTTTGTAATTTATAATTAACTTCATATTTCGTATTTTATACTGTAAATTTATTTGTTTATCACAAATAACGGGTTATGTGGGCTCTGCCCATCATGGGTATCGAAACACGATTTTTAGCGTTATAAGCCTTCATATTATATCGCAAGAAAGGGAGGCGATTTGGTACATGCGTGAATTAGATAGTAGATTAACCCTCAAATTACCGACTTGTTTATATACTGATCACTGTATATGTTATATATACTGCGAACCGTGGTGTATGTCCGAGTGTTTGTCTGTCTCCTGTTTGAAAAGCTGCGCACGCAGGCAAAGCTCAACATTCACTTTTGAAATGATGGGAGAACAGGCATGAATAATGTTGATAACAAATTTTATTTCACAAGCAGGATATTCTACACTAACTTGTTAGGAATTAATCACACTATCATTCACATTTCATAATGTGATATAACTTAAAGAATAAAAATGTAGATTTACTGTATGTTATTGTTGAGTGACTCTTAGCATGACTGAAATGCTCAACAATTACTTTTCACAGTGGGTGGTATAAGAAGCTCAGAGCTTTGGCTCTAAGTGAAATCAAGAGTGTAACACAATTAACCTTTTTAAAGTCCATGAAATAACTTAAATTGATAGATGAACTTAAACTTTTCCCGCCACTGGGGACGGGTACTTTTGCTTATTACATCATATTGAGTATGTTTGTTTTTGCCTGTTACACCATATTGAGTATGTTTGTTTTTGCCTGTTACACCATATTGAGTATGTTTATGTTTTTGCCTGTTACATCATATTGAGTATGTTTATGTTTTTGCCTGTTACACCATATTGAGTATGTTTGTTTTGCCTGTTACATCATATTGAGTATGTTTATGTTTTTGCCTGTTACATCATATTGAGTATGTTTATGTTTTTGCCTGTTACATCATATTGAGTATGTTTATGTTTTTGCCTGTTACAACACTCAATGTGTAAAGCACTGACCATAAAACATGGGATAAAATCATCCATTTTCTATGTATTTTCAGAATGCGATTAAGTGCAGAATTGACGGTATTCTTGTTTAGACTTCGTGTGTGTGACTCCTAATGTTAGCGACCTTGTAATAACCAACTAGCAATTTGATACATTAACGGTTTATAAAAATAACTGTTTAGTAATGCAGTAGGGTCCGTATAAACCCCTTGGTAATTCTAGGGTTTACATGAAAAGTTTAGGTTGAAAAAATGCTGTGTAAATGGCATTCTTTTAAGCATTTTCTATGTAATATTTTGCAAGAAATAAGTGAAGCGAGCGATGGAAACGAGATTTGAAATCACGTGCACATGCTACTGTCAGGCGATCGATAACAGAAAGAAAATGCGGACTGTTAAGAAATTGCGTTCTTACGAAGATTTTCCTTTTTTTGTGGTATTGGACCCACTGAATAAAATAGGTATGGTACGGTATATACACGTATATGCATTGGTTACAGATACACATACATGGTAAACAATTTATAAAAATATATTAAAGTGAATTTCATGTTATGCCTTTGTGATTATTATTCTTACTGAGTAAAAGGAAGACCATAAAATTAGACACATCTAATCTAGTGCGCCTGTGCTTAGAGTACAGACATATGTTGTAATAATAAATACTGACTGATTTAGCTGCTCATAACTTACATTAATAGCGAGAAGTGTAGTGGTAGAAATGCGGTAATTTGTTTAAAGCGACTGTGAAGCGATGTTCTTTGTGTCAATTGCAGCACCTCAAGTTTGAAATTAAATAATCCTTACGGTACAGCGGAAAACAAGCACGATTACAAGGCGCGTTACATTTATCAGTATAGGTCAGAGTTGAGAACTCCATGATGGACCAGGAGAACTTATAATTTTTTAGTTTTTTTATGTCATCTTTAATTTCTAAACCTCGAGGAAGGACCTTAAAGAGGCCCCTGCTTCTTTGCCTACATACATATATCCCACTTCCTAATCTTCCAGTTATTGTAAAACAAGAATTTGGGTAACATATCCTCATTCTTTATCCAAAACATCCCCCCCCCACTGAAACTGTTAAGAAACTTTAATTAGGGGATTCCTCATTGAAACATCTAAGCTTAAGGACAATAGCTCAGTTTGGTATTCAAGGTTCTCGAAGAGATTCCCATTTAAGTCGCCCCCCGTCATCATCACACCCTGAAATCATGTGGAGAAGTAACTCCCATAGTCAGTATTTTCAACATTCTGGGGGAGGAAATTTTTTCAGTGATTTAGAACCAGTTTGTAATAGCTGTTAGAAAGATGTATGTGTGCAAAAATATGGACTATGAGCTTACATGGTTTCCAGTTTTCATTCGAGCCTGACAGTGTCAAGGCAGGGTGCTTCAAACATCCTGTACAGCCACATATAAACTGGTTATGCTAGTACTGAAGTAGAATTGTGATTCAATTGTGTAATCCAACTTTAATATTGGGTTAGATACATCTATATTTTCTACCATGTGGTTCTTTGCCTTACCTGAAGGCATTGTCAGCTATCATCTGCCATTAGAAAATGCTGACTGTTCCTTCTTCACCACCTACTTAGAGTTTGATCTTGCTATAGTCTATTATATATTTAATAATGCTTGGAGACGGCTTGAATGGGTAATGAAGAAAAATTTTAATATAAGTTTAACATAACAGCAAATGTGCAACGTTTCGACAAGTTTTTGTCATCATCAGGTACATGTAGTTTACACTAACACAGATATATATATATACAGTATGGAACAAAGAAGTCACATGACCGGATACTGTTGCAAGACTTAGAAGAGATAT